AATATTTTTGTGTCTGTATTGTTACAGACATAGTTGCTTATAGGTATTTTGAAATGAATTACCAAAATAATTGAAACTAGTGTGATAATATGTTATTTTAACAAATATAATATGCATAATTTTAAAATATCGTGCGCATAATTTTTATTTTTTTGGCACAGAATTCCCCCAGGAGTAAAATTTGCAAGACTCTAGAAGTTAATACACAACCTACACTGGCTTGACTGGAAAACTAAACCTTTATTTAATTGCCCAATATATTTGTCCCATTTGTATAAGCAGTAAGATTTTTCCCAGCCTGACTGTAGATGACTTTGAGATACACTAGAACAGTGGGTTCTCAACCAGGGGTTCCTGTGCCCCTGGGGATACGCAGAGGTCTTCCGGGGGTATGTCAACTCATCTAGATATTTGCCTAGTTTTACAACAGGCTATAGAAAAAGCACTACTGAAGTCACTACTGATTTTGAAATGTAAGTACAGTATTTATATTCCAATTGATTTATTTTATAATCATACGGTAAAAATGAGAAAGGAAGCCATTTTTCAGTAATAGTGTGCTGTGACACTTTTGTATTTTGATGTCTGATTTTGTAAGCAAGTAGCTTTTAAGTGAAGTGAAACTTGGGGGTATGCAAGACAAATCAGACTCCTGAAAGGGATACAGCAGTCTGGAAAGGCTGAGAACCACTGCACTAGAACATGTTCTTCACTACTATAAATAGGGTGACCAGATGTCCTAATTTTATAGGGACAGTCCTGATTTGGGGGGCTTTTCCTTATATAGGAACCTATTACCCTCCACCCCCGTCCTTATTTTTTACACTTGCTACCTGGTCACCCTAATTATAAAGACAATTAAAAATGAGCAGCATTGTATCAGTCCCACTTAGTTTCACTTCAACTTAAGCATTGCATAACAATTTTTACAACAAAATTACTAAATCTTAACCCAACTACCAACTATTGCATTAATCATCCGGGATATATTAGTTAATGAGAACATCCTTAATTACAGCAACCATACATTAATGTTAACTAGATCTAGAATTATTTGTAAATTTTCAGCATAATAAAGAAAGTTACCTAGAAAAACATACCTCACCAAGTAGATGACAAAAGGTTTAGCACTTTTAGTTTCCCATTTACTTTACACATCTGACAGCATGAAAATAGGACTTTCTGTGATAGGATAATTGCATTCTGAAGAGTAATTCAAGTAGTGATGAGTATGATAAAAATCACACTGAATCAACTAATCACTATGAAAAGTGATGAGAAAGAAAGATAAAATCAAGCCAGAATATAAAAGGAGGAAAAATGTTCAACACTGATTAGTAGCTGAGAACAAGTTGATGTGTTTAAAAAATATCTGAAGGACTTTAAATTACTCTATTTCTGTATTTTCAAGTTTTATCAGGACCTATTTCACACAGATTAAACAGTCTACATTACTAGGATTTTCTGAATGATGACTGCCTCCGATCACTATTTCTGCCAAATGCTGAAAATATGCTGTTTGAAATAATTATTATGTGCCAGTCACTTGAAATACTATTTCAATCAAAATGTAGATTTCTGGCAGAGCTGACTACTTGCAGTTAATTCAATTAGTAATTAGGACTGTATCAAATTGTGGTACCATTAGAGCAGCAACATTGTATGAATATTTGGATTTTGAACCATGTTGATGGATGCCCCAATTATGTCGGATGGGGGGAATTCTGCAGTGTTTCCATTATATTGGGGCTTACTGGATTATGAGTGTCTGAGCTCTCTAGAAGTTAATGTTTTGGTTGCAATTTTGAAATTTAGGTTTTGGAATGAGCACTGATCTTTGGCATAGGTTCTTCTTGTACCGGTTTCTTATTAATCTAAATAAATACCAGAATCCTGCAATATTTACATTAAAAAAACATTATTCCAGGATCAGTTGAATGCAGCATGCTTTTTGTCTCAAGTGGATGCATAGATGAGCTAACTGTAGATTTGCTGCACAAGATACAAGTTGTGTAGAACTAGCATTGTACTACAGGATTTCAGAGCTTTTCAAGAAGTGCAACTGGCAAACTGCCATCCTTCACATTATAAATGTATTATTATAACGTCAAAAACATAGCACTCACTCACTAAGCCTCAGCAGGAATAAGCATCTTATTCATCCCTCTAACTGTCACCTCAAAATATCCAAGATGGCTACATGTTATGTAACTGTTTCCAGTAAAGCTATTATCTTGCAATCAGAGCTAAGCAGATTTTCAATAATAATAAAAATCCTTCCAAATTTGGTTTTGCAAACTATTTTTCTTAAAGATTAAGGAGAAAAAGACATATGTGTATCAGGAACTCTGGGTTCTAGCCACCTTTTATTGCACCAAAGCCTCTTCTCACCATACTGTATTCATGCTTTAATTTCATAGAATTCTGGCGGACTGTTACTCAGAGCAATGCATTATGGTCCATATAAAACATTATTTCTTGGATATCAAGACTATGTCTATAAAAGGAGATATCAAGATCATGTCTATAAAACATTTCTAAACACCACAAAAATTCAAATTAGAGAGCATGCACTGCAGTGCTGTAACTGAGACACCAACTGCTCTTTTCTACTGATTCCCCATTCCTGTAAACAGACATAGTCTTTCATTACCTGTAGTTTGCGACTCTCTGTTAGCTACAAATACCAGTGCTGCACTGAAGTGCTTTAGTGGAGCTCTCTTGATGCTTTTTTCCACATTTCCTGATCTCAAAGCAGTACTCCTTCTGCTAGGAAATAAGGAAACTAATCCCTTCACAGTCAATATTGTGCAACTCCCTGCAGAAGATATTCAAGTGCAGGTTCTGCTCTAAAAAGGGGCAGTAAAAATAACATTGTGGGGTATCATGTATATTATCTCTCAGAGCCTCCCTGTCGAGTGTGCTCAGTTTATAGGTTAAAAGACATTTTATTTTACAGTCAACCCAGAAAACTCAACCTTAAATCTGGAAGTCTAGCAGAATTCTTTACTTTTTCTGATCATGCACAAGAAAAACAGTTCTACAGGTCAAATTTTGCCTTCAGTCACACCAGTGAAACTCTAGTGTCTTCAACTGCTGCTTTCAGTGACACTTCTGGAACCGCAGGACCTTCAGTGCATTGATGTGGACACAGCAGCAAAATGAGGACAAAATGCATAGAATTTAGTGGCAGGCCACAACTTTTATTAAACTTTATCACAAGGTAGGGGAGCTACCCACCCACCACCGATACTCTCCTATACTAGCCATTTAATTGGTTCCAGTGCTGGGCACCTTACCCGTAATGTGGGGTAGAGTCTCCTCAGCTTACCCGCATGACTCAGCTCTCTCTGAGTCCTAGCACCCTCTGTCCCTGAAGGAGACAGAGGGTGCAGCAGGGCAAGGACCTCAGCCCAAGAGGGTGATAAGGTCTCACCCTATCACATGAGTCCAAGGCCCATCATCAAAATTCCAGTTCTTTTACCTCCCTTAACTGCACAAGAAACTAACCACAGGGGGAACCAGTGACTATCTTTGTCACCCCCCCCCCACACACACACAACCACACCGCACACCTCCTGGTATCAATTCCTGCCCAATACATACCCTTATAACCGTTCTCAAACCTCATTGCACCATGACCCCCTTCTGACAACAAAAATTACTACATGACCTCAGACGGGAAGGCAGAACTTGAGCCCCGCCGCCCTCAGGCTTCAGCTTCAGCCCTGGGCCCCAGCAAGTCTCACGCTAGCCCTGGTAACCCCATTAAAATGGGGTCCTGACCCACTTTGGGGTCCTGACCCACAGTTTCAGAACCGCTGAGTGTACCCCATGTCAGCACCTCCATTTAACAAATGTACACAATCAACTTGGAAAACTTCTGGCCAATTGTAACAGATGTTCCTGTGCTGTATCACTGAACCCCCTATGTCCAGGAATATCTTGGTGACCTGTCTATTCACTTTCACCCATCTTCTTTTACATCCTGGGGAGGAGGACGAGAATTGCTGCTGCAAGCTGGTGAGTAACCCTGCTGGAACAGAGCCAAAAGAGGTTCCACATGGCCCGTGCACTGCGCTAAATCCTGGGAGCTGGGAAAGGCTGGCCAATCGGGACCCCTCTTCCCCAGACAGCCAATGAATGCCACAGATTCCCAGAGGAGCAGCTACCTTTTGTCCCTTCCTGAGGGTCTCCGTCCCTTGCCTCTGGAAATGACCCTCTTTCACCACGGGCCCCATCGATTTCCCCTACCCATGTAAGCAGGTGGGTGGCATTTTGCACATGTATAAACGAATGGAAGTTAATGAACAATTGTTGATGATACCCAAGAAGAAACAGAATACAGCTCACTCTCTCAGCTGTGTGCGTTGTGCAAAGCTAACGGGAATCAAAAGTGGTAAAAACATTTATTTTTGTCACTAAAATCAGCATATATGACTGAAAACACAAACTGCCACTCCACCCTTTATAAACATTGCTGTGGAAAGGAGTTTCAGCAATATGAGACAAGCAGAAAATGATGTACAGTAGACACACTTGCCACCCTTTGTTACACATTTACCACATATGGGGAGGAAGGGGAATCAGATTGTTCAATCAAGGGAGATTAGACTAGGCAGATCCCTTCAAATATTATTTTTATAGTTCTACAGGGTACTGCAATTAATTCTGCTTTCGTTTGGTTTTGTTGATATACAGATATATGTATACCATTATTTTTATCAGCAAATATTACACTAAGAATATTTGTAATAAACTGGTACTTCAAAGCTTGCCACATATGCAAAGCTTTTACATGATTATCATAGGTAAATGCACTGCCAAATTTATCTTACTGATGGTATAATCAACTTTCATCTACTTCTGAGAGCTGGACCTTAAAAACACTTCTACTTTTTACACCATCACCTTCAATTACCATGGATGCAACATTCTAAGCTACTGACACATTTTGTACAACTGCACAAAATATTAAATCAAAATGATCTGCTACTTACCCGTACAGCTTCAGACTTTTTATGAAACATTTCTTCCATACTTTTTGCTAGCTTTTTCACAAGCTGAAGGCCATCAATTTCTTCTATTGAAACATCCTTCTCGTATTCTTTGTATTTCTACAAGAAAGTAGAATTGTAAAAGGAAGTTACTTGAAATTCTGAGAACTTGTAACTCGATGCATACTCCATTTTTTCTGGCTTTTGTACATTTCCTTGGTATTCAGTTGGGTACTGGAGAGCTAGTTAATGCAAAAACACTTTTACTGAGATGGATCTGTTAGATCCAGAACGCCAATGGTGAAAAATAGAATAAAATGTATCCATCCCTTCCACTGTGGAGAAAGGAACCAAAACTGCTCAAACATACATAACAGCAAATAGTATAAACAAAAAGACATTATTTTAAACTAGTGATATGTCCCTAGTCCACTCTAGTTTTAGGTCCCCAGAGCTAGCCTCCTTCAACTAAAATTAAACAGAATTTGAATAATCTAGCTCTTCTTAGGCCCTGATTCAGAAAACCATGTAAGCATGTGCTTAACTTTATATACATGCATACGGCTATCCCTAAACAGCAAAGTGCCCTTTCACAGGAACAAATGAGGACGAATCCTACTTTGTGGTCTCTTCTCTTTTCAATGCACGTTTATGCACAAGTAACTCTTGGTAGCATGAATAAGAATTAGACAGGTATGGAGAGACAAATACATCCCAAAAGCAAGTCAGCCATTCATTTGCGGCCTCCTTTTGTTCTTTTCTGCATGTCAACATTTTGAATTTTATTTCAGTATCGGTGTTTACAATAATAATAAAACAACTGTATTTTCTTTGGACTCAGTCCTGAAGATGGTAGTGTATTCCCCTCCCACCATGAATAATCCCATTATAGTCAATACACTCAGCCATAAAGGTTTTCATAATCAGGCTATAGTTTTGTAAACTGACTCCCTCTCTTTAAGGGTTTTCTCTTGCTGCTTATGAACGAAGTAATTGGCAAAACTCCCATTATGGCAAGAGGAATACGATAGTATGTAATTAGGGATGAACCCATCAAATTTAATATCATGAATTATATCCTTTTCATATTATTAATTATATTTAATTATTCTATAGCATTATTTTATTCCATTCCATAGCTTCATCAGGAACAGAAGCAAGCATATTATTAATTAGTTATTATTATTATTATTAGGTGCCTCCACGAACAGATAAGTAATGTGAGGTTCCCGCTCTGAAGAGTTTACCATCAAAGTTCATTTAAGATACTAGGAGGATGCATAGGAGTTACAGTAATAAGATACACAACTACTTATCAAAGACATGCGAGCATCATGGTGGGACACTTTAAAAAATAAACACTAATGAGAAATGAGTTTATATATGAGAAATATATGAATGCTTACTGTTGAATGTATTATTTTTAATGCTAGACCATATTATAGAGACATATATGCACCAAAATCCCTGATCTGACGAGCTCACATTCAAAGTGAAGAAAGGCAATATCATTTGGCTTGTGGTTATGTTCCACTACAAATTAGGTATTTTTTTTTAAATCTCTACACTCTACACGCTCCATGTACCATTCTTAAGCTCAGGCACTGCCAGTAAAAGTTAAGACTTTTCAAAATTAGCAAATTAATGCCCTGATCCTGCAAACACTTAAGCATGTGCACAACTTTACTCATATGAATAGTCCTATTTGACATTCACATGCCCTACTCACAGGAAGCAAATGCCTCCAGGAAATCTCATTGTAAGAGTTATGCTCACTGGTCAGGAAATAGAAGTACTGTCATGTGACTAAAAGCGAGGCATTGCAGCTCAAATTTGATATTTTCAATTTTGACCACCAAGCCATAAAATGTACAATAGACATGGCACATGCTTCTTGCAGCCCTGATTCAAAAAGCTCTTAAGTGAGTGCTTAAGTCCCTCTGACTTAAGCATATATTTAAGTGCTTTGCTGAATCAAGGACCTAACCAGATGTTTACATATTTTCAGTATTGCACTTCCCAGTTACTGCATCATAAGATGACACAATCCTCTGAGATAGAGTATCTTCTTAAAGACAATGCACTCACCACAGCTCAACATGGCATCCGGGCCAGAAGCAAAAGGCTGTTGCCCTTTTAAGGATTCCACCCTACAGTCATAGTACAGGGGGAAAGTTTACAGGGAGCAGGAAAGAGCTGGGGGGAGGGCAGAGAGCACTACCCTGCCTGCTGACCAAGAGAGTGGCAGGTATTTATACCCTGGGCAGCACCAGAGAAGCCCTCTTTTATCTGGATCAGGCTGGCAGAGACTACGATACCCGTATGAGGAAATAAGGAAACAAATTAACAGAGCCAGACATGTACCCAGAAGCCTCCTGCTGCAAGACAAGCCCAAGAAAGAAACCAACAGAATTCCACTGGACATCACCTACAGTCCTCAGCTAAAACCTCTCCAATGCAACATCAGTGATCTACAACCCATCCTGGACAACGATCCCTTGCTTTCACCGGCCTTGGGAGGCAAGCCAGTCCTCGCCCACAGACAACCTGCCAACCTTAAGCATATTCTCACCAGCAACCACACACCGCACCATAGTAACTCTAACTCAGGAACCAATCCATGCAACAAACCTCGATGCCAACTCTGCCCACATATTTACACCAGCAACACCATCACAGGACCTAACCAGATGAGCCACAACTTCACCGGTTCATTCACCTGCACGTCCACCAATGTAATATACGCCATCATGCGCCAGCAATGCCCCTCTGCTATGTACATCGGCCAAACTGGACAATCCCTACATAAAAGGATAAATGGACACAAGTCAGATATTAGGAATGGCAATATACAAAAACCTGTAGGAGAACACTTCAACCGCCCTGGACACACAATAGCAGAGTTAAAGGTAGCCATCCTGCAGCAAAAAAACTTCAGGACCAGACTCCAAAGAGAAACCGCTGAACTTCAGTTCATTTGCAAATTTGACCCCATCAGCTCAGGATTAAACAAAGACCGAATGGCTAGCCAACTACAAAAGCAGTTTCTCCTCCCTTGGTGTTCACACCTCAACTTCTAGAAGAGGGCCTAATCCTCCCTGATTGAACTAACCTCGTTATCTCTAGACTGATTCTTGCCTGCATATTTATATCTGCCTCTGGAAATCTCCACCACATGCGTCTGATGAAGTGGGTATTCACTGTTAGTCTATAAGGTGCCACAGGACTCTCTGTCGCAATGTATATATTGTAACTTGTCCCAGTTGCAAATAAGTTTGATCTTATTTTATACTAAAGGTGAGTAAACAGTTAATTTGTTACAAAAATATTTGACAAGTGTTTGCCTATTTCTGCTTATGGAATGCTGCAAACCAAACAAGGTTTCCTTGAATTTATTCAACTTAATCCTATTTATTTTATTCATTTTTTTATTTATTTTATTTTTGGTGATTTTTCAATTATTCTATAATTAGGTCAAAATTCAAAATCCCAAATAGAAAAATTTTAATCAGTTTCGCTAGTCACATAAAAGTGACATGAAATTGACTGATTTAGGGAATGAAAACAATTAAATAACACTTTACAATCAAGTTTCTTGGAATTTGGTTTCTGAGACATTTGAGTTTATGAGCCCAAAATATCATTTTCTGTGACCATTCATGCTAGGAAAGGTGAACTGCACAAGTGTTCATACTAAAGAAACATGAAAAGGAAGTAAACGCAGCTGAAGTGAATTAAAGTAAACATTCAAACCAATATCTGCAGATTTTTTTTGTAGCATTTATTTTTGTTTGCAATCATATAAAAATAATTTTCCATTTCTAATGTCAACATTCTTGCAAAAAGAGTAATGGATGCCTGAAAGAAAAGCAAGTTGGGGGACAATACAATATATAGTATGATTGTATGATCGTTTTGTGCCCCAAGGTAACCTTTTCTCTGAAGACCTATCTACACTAAGAAGGTTTTTTTGTTTTGTTTTTAAGTTTCCCACCTTTGGTAACACCCGCTCAACTCCACTGGTGTTAGCACAGTTAGTCCGAGGGAAGACTGAATGCCACAAGTATTTTTAACACCATATTGAGACTCCAGAGAAAGTGCAACAACAACAAAAAGTTGATAATACTTGAATTCAGGTAGCTCTTCAAGACCGAGAGTAAATTCCAGTGATGGACAGTAAGCACAAGCTCAGGAAACATATAGCAAGAAGGGTTCTTTTTTGCCATACTAAAATTTTCAGAAAACAATGGTCTATACTCACTTAAGCCTGACTACATGTCTGTAATGACCTATTTAGATGGGACCTTTTGTGAACTATATAATCTTTTTGATCAATACCCTTGGGAGAAACTTTCATGAACAGGATCAATAAAGAAGCAGCTGTAGTACTCTCCTGGAATCAACTAAATATTTGAGCCAATGCCATTAATTACTGTCTAACAAGTTTTGTAACTAAAACTTGCCCATGGAATTAATATCATGAGGATCAGGGGAAATAGAAGATTTCTCAGTTAACTTCTAGGTGCACTATGAATTTCAGATTTTCTATAACATTGCCATTTCAGCAGTACATACTAAAGACTTACCATTGTGCAATTTTGTTCTAATAGACTTTTCAAAAGGAGTCTATTAATTAAACTCTAACTAGTTTTGAAAAGCTTCATTTAAACTTGATGCTGCTTTTTTAAAAAAAATCTGCCATGTTAATAGAACAAGCAGAATTTAGGCTACTATCCCCCAAGGGTGTTTATGCCATTTTACATAATTAACTAATCCCAATTTTGTGTTCTTCTACCCACTTTGATCAAATGAGCATAAAGTAGCTTGTTATCCATGCACAGTAACTACTTCATTTTCACTGATCAGAGCAAGCGAAAGAACAGAGTCCACTGTAGGCAGTGACACAACATTGTAAAATATATCAATTGTGCCAAAAAGTAGTATGCTGAAAAATCTGATTCCATTAAAACTGATTCCATTAAAAGCTGCCTGCTTTCCTCAGTGATATTTTTTGATAAATCCAGGTCTAAAAAGACTGCCTAGAAGAACTACGGTGCTTATTATATCAATAGGTCAGCACGTAGAGAGGCAATTCCCTGAAATGCTTATTTCAGGCTGCA